ATGTCTCTCATTTTTGCTCTTATTACAGTGACCGTCTCTTGTGGCTGCACAGTATCTTTGCTCTCCTCTATTTCATCATCACTGTTCTCTGCATGACTCATCATTCCATCCAATTAGAGTATAAGGAAAATGAAAAGGTAATAATTGCAGTGGTCTCATTGACACCTTCCTTTCTGCCCTTTCAGAGATGCACATCTAGACTAGTGTTTCTCAACCTTGGCAAGTTTAAGATGTGTGGACTGCATTCTGGCTGGGGAATTGTGGGAGTTGAAGTGCACATATCTTACACTTGTCAAGACTTAAAAATACTGATCTAGACCAGAGGTTCCCAACCTTTTGGGCACCAGGGACCGGTTATGTGGAGAGAGGTTTTTCTGCAGACTGGAGGGGGCGTGGTTTTATGTGCTGCCTGCATCCCGCAGATGGGGCTTTGCTTGTTTCTGCGGCCTGGTTTCTGGCATGCTGCCGCCTGGTGCCAGTCCACGGACTGGGAGTTGGGGACCCCTGATCCAGACATTTATCATATGTTGTATCAGGCCAGGGAAGAAATTTGTCCAAATATTGATTTGAGATTGTTTAAATGCTGCAATTCAATGTGACAATACAAATCTTGTTCTGAAAGAAGCAAGCTTTCACCATATAAGCAAGTTGCCACTTCAGGGTCATAAAATAGGAGTAGATATGCCAAGCCCTGTTTCATGCAGGATGAGGGTGACACAGCAATATTTTAATTAGCCATTTCTATTATTAAACTTTTCTTACCACTAAATATTTTCTTGCAATGTTTAAGCAAAATGTAATTTAAGTCTGTAGTCTTACACCAGTAGAAAATAACAAGTACAAATAATACTAGACTTTAAGTGGCAAAATACTGGAAACTGACTAATGTTACACCTATTAAAGTGTCTCCACTTCTGACCTCTTCCCTTCTTGTCTTTTAGCTGGCCCGGACATTGATGGTTACCAGGATTCCCAAAGAGATCACAGATACATCTCTTGTTGTCAAACACTTCCAGTAAGTACAACTACATGCTCAGTAGTATTCTTTTTTCGTAAATGTGCTCTAACTCTTTTAAGCTAGTGATAACCATGGTGAGGAGTCACTAATAAATACCGTACATCGAACAGTACAGGTAGACTTCAACATACGACCAGAATTGAGCCCCAAATTTCTGTTGTTAAGTGAGACATTTGTAAAGTGAGTTTTGCCCGATTTTACGACCTTTCTTGCCACAGTTGTTAAGTGAATCACGGTAGTTGATAAATTAGTAACCCGGTTGTTAAATGAATCTGGCTTCCCCATTGACTTTGCTTGTCAGAAGGTCACAAAAGGTGATCGTATGACTTTGAGACACAGCAACGGTCATAAATGTGAACCAGTTGCCAAGCACCTGAATTTGGATTAGGGGGATGCTGCAAAAGTCATAACTGTGAAAAACAGTCATAAGGCACTTTTTTCAGTGCTGTTACAACTTTAAATGGTCACTAAATGAATTGTTGTAAGTTGAGAACTATCTGTACACAGCCTAGCACAGAGCCCTGAAGTATGCCACTTTACACTTTCTTCCAGCTTGACATGAAGCTATTGAGATACACTCATAAGAAAGGATTATTAAACTCATGTAGCATTCCTTCTTGCTCAGAACTTCTCATATTCTTTAAGCTCACCTAGAAGATGTTTGAACCACTTGTCAAACTGCAGGGTCATTTCTGTGCAACACAGTAGTAACCTATATGCTTTATCGTCATATCTAGAATTCACTTGGGCCATATAATGCTGAACACAGTATTAGAATTTCATTTCAACCAGGACATCATCCTCTTTATTTTCTTTCCAAATCTCTCTAACCAATTGGAGAGAGACCTATATAGAACATTCACCTTAACTTGGATGAGACATCAGCCTTTCACAAAAAGCCACTTCCATTATGCTTCATTTTGAACAGTGAGTCACTGCTGTCATAGGGGTTGTGCCAGATATCATCAGAAGTCAGTTCACCTGAATTGTGTCAGGCCATCACGAACATCCAGTTGCTAGACAGAGCAGGCATAACTATTAATGTCTGTGAAGCATTATAGGTTGAACATTTGACTCATAGAGATGCAACTTTGGGGAGGATGGCTTCCTTGTTTCTGACTACCAAAACCTGCCTGAAAATAATTTAGCTTGCCATCTACCCATATATGTGACTCATAGAAACCACAGCGAAAAATTGATAACTAATTCATAATTTGGGCTTTATTTATTTATTTATAAAATTTATTGGTTGGCCATCTGGGTGGCTTACAGTCATGAAAAAACAAGTATAAATATACTAAAAACATAAATAAGTTAAAAACCAGTCAAACACTGTGATCCCATTAAAGATGGGAAGGGTGGAAGCAGGATGGGAGGGGAGGTGGGATTAATTAATTAATTATTAGTCAATCAAATGAGCAACTGAGATTTTGTCACCCCCTTCTACCTTTCTTTCCTAGGTGGAGTTCTATTTCTTAATTCTAAAAGTATGCCAACTCAAATAACATCAGTTACAATAACTATTATTTTCTCTTTTCTTTTTTTCTTTTTTTTTTTTTTATTGAAAATTTTTAAAAGTTTTA